GAGAGAGAGAGAGAGAGAGAGAGAGAGGAGAGAGAGAGAGAGAGAGAGAGAGAGAGAGGAGAGAGAGAGGAGAGAGAGAGAAGAAGTGAGAGAGAGAGAGAGAGATAGAGAGAGAGAGAGCGAGAGAGTAAGAGAGATAGATAGAGAGAGAAAGAAGAAGAGAGAGAGAGAGAGAGAGAGAGAGAGAGAGAGAGAGAGAGAGAGAGAGAGAGAGAGAGAGAGAGAGAGAGAGAGAGAGAGAGAGAGAGAGAGAGAGAGAGAGAGACGGAGCTATAAAGGACATCTCTTCCCTGTGATAATCACAATAGGCTTAGATGTGCCTATAATGAGAGATAGAGAGCACAGTCGGATTTCCGTCAGACGGCTTCAAATATTGATAAAGATCTGGTCGCTGAACCAAACGGTACTTTAAATGTTGGATCTGGAGCGCGTTGCTGTCGTCTATCAGCAGCAAGTTGAATCATGAAATTCCATGAAGATTTGACGACGCTATGGCGGTTTGACTGGCAAGAGGTATAGCAGCCACTATAGTCTTGGAAGTACAAACTTAGCAAGAAGAGTTCGAGAGGGAGATGGTTCCCAGCCTCTACATACCCCAAGAGCCGAGGTCCAGGTTGGTGGTACACCACCACAGAGTCCCCAACCATGAAGAGTCTCGAAACCAACCCTCCAAGGGGCTACACCAAGTGAAATGTAACACTACACGAAGTAACGTTACTATTTTCACTATTTAATATTTATCCGCATCCCTTGGGCTTGAAATCTTGAGCTCTTGTTCTTGGATCTGCAAGATAAATTCTTCTTGAGTTGATGGGGGCTTGCTGCACACACCTGCGACACGATGGACACTTCACACTCGACAAAATAGAAAAAAAAAAACACATGCGACACACAAACGATAACTTGACATGCGAGTTGTAAAAACTCGCTTATGTCTTGATCGACACAAACCACATTGTGATACACCATTCAAACACACACACAAGTACTGTATAGCAATGACATAGACTCACAATTCATTCCATGCCATGCATGCACACACACAAACAAGGACGACAAGCCGAGTGCAAGCCATAGGGTTGCACCAACAAACTCCCCCTCGGATTGTTGGCCTTCGAATCTGCTCCCCTTAAATCAGAGTCATCCCAGCAAGCTTGCAACACTTCCAATGCTGCTGCTCAACCAGCCTTTTGGTCATCATATCAGCAGGCTGCGCCGTCGTCTTCACGTAGTGCAACTCCACTTGACCCGCGGTTACCATGCTCCTCACCCTGGTTGACGTCACCAAGGTAGTAGTTGACGTCACCAAGGGTCTTGCACTTGAACTTGTCTTGAAGCTTCAGCATCACCTCCTTCACAAGGTCAGAGGAGGGTGAGAAAATGAGGATGTCATCCACATAAACCACCATGAAGCTCCTCTGCTCCCCCTCGCCAAGCATGAACAAGGATTGATCGGCCGTTGAGGGAGTGAAGCCGATCGCCTCCAAGACTTCCCGCAGCTTGATGTACCATTGCCTAGGGGCTTGCTTGAGGCCATAGAGTGCTTTCTTCAGCTTCCACACTCTGCCACTCCCATCATTGTACCCCTCTGGCTCCTCCATGTAGGTCTCTTCCTCCAAAACGCCGTTGAGGAAGGCCGTTACAATGTCCATTTCCTCCACCACCCATCCTTTGATGGCCGCCGCGGCGAAGAGAGTTCGAAGGGTTGTACCCTTCACCACAGGACCATATACTTCATTGTAGTCCTTCTTCTCCTGCTGCTGGTACCCCTTGGCTACAAGTCTGCTCTTGTAGCGCTCAATGTTGCCGTCGGCGTCGGTCTTGCGCTTGAAGAGCCACTTGGAAGAAATCGCCTTACGCCCCGGAGGTAGGTTCACCAAGTCAAACGTGTCGTTCTCGATGATGCTCCCCATTTCTTCATCTGAGGCCTTCTTCCACTCCTTCCCATTGGGGCCCTCCCAAGCCTCCTTGGGATTTGTATGATCCTTCGGTATCTCCACCGGAGAGAAGAAGGCAAAAACGCACTCCTCGCTTTCATCTTCCGCATCATCGCCTAGCATGAGAGCCGAACCGGTCAAGGTTGAGTTGGCTGGTCCTCCAAGCCGTTCATAGCTCAACCTTTTGGGGGGCTGAGTCTTCCTTCTCCCCCTTCCTTCCTCCTCTGCTGCAGGGACTTGAATGCTCTCATGGCTTTGCGGTAAGTCCGGTCGGTTCCCGCGAGCACTTGTAGCACGAGGCGGAAGTGGCGGTGCACGCTCATTACCTTGCTGCACCTCCTCCTCTTCCTCATCCCCATTCATTTGGGGAGATTTCCTCGTGATTGTGCTGCTGCTACTCAGCTCCAAGGGCAGCTCCACATGCTCCAAGCCGGTCCTCTTCACCTCTCCAAGCCGCACACCAATCTTCGCTTGGTTCTCCGCCTTCCACTCCTTGTACGGTAAGTTCTCCATGAACTTGCAATCTCTGCTCACCAGGAACTTCTTGGTAAATGGTTCCCATAGAAGCCATCCCTTGCTGTTTTGGGCCATGCCCAGGTGCACGGCCCATGTTGCCTTGGCATCAAGCTTGTTGTGCCGAAGTTTCTTAGGCACAAGTGCCATGCACATGCACCCGAACACCCGAAGCATATCCACCTTCGGCTTCCTTCCAATCCACTCCACATAGGGCACCCATTTGTCTTCTCCCACATGAGTCAAGGCTCTGTTCTTGGCCACACAAGCATGCCGCACTGCATCCGGCCAAAAGTAATTGGGTAGACCGGCTTCAATGAGAAGTCCCCGAGCCGTCTCCGTGAGTGTCCGATTCGCACGCTCGGCGATGCCGTTCATTGCAGGAGAGTAGGGCATGGTAAGAGAGTGCCTTATGCCCTGATTCTTCAGCCAAGTTGAGAAAACCTTGCTCAAGAACTCTCCCCCACGGTCAGTGCGAATTGCCTTCACAAGTCGGTCTTGTTGCCGCTCCACCATCGGCAACCAATCGGTCTTCACCGTTTCAGCTACGTCACTCTTCTTGGGCAGCACATACACCCAAGTCATGCGAGTGTAGACGTCCACAATGGTGAGGAAGTACTCTGATCCAGCAGCTCCAAGCTTCAAGGGTCCCACCACATCCATCACCACCTCATCAAGTGGTGCCACCGCCGCTGTTGCAGGAGGGTGTAAACCCTTGAGAGCAGCTCAAGCCTTTGGTCCCTTTGCTGGTTCATGCTGAAAAGGCTTGATGTGACGGATTTGACTGCTCCCCAAAGCTTGCCCAAGTAGAAGATAGCCTTGTGCGCTCTTCTGCACCCACGGGCTCTTCTCCGGGTCGTTCTTGGGACGCTTCTCCGTTCCTTCCATCACCTCGAGCAGATCATAGTGGTCAAAGATGTTCTCCATATTGAAGGACCACTCAGGAAAGTTGTCACCATTGAACTTGTCAAGACCAAACACTCTAGACTCATCCCTAGAGGGGCCA